CTACGAAATCTTCCTCCTCCTTGCTCAGGACAGTCCCGGGACCAACCCTCGCATCTATGGCCACCTTGTTCTTCACACGGTCGTGCAGCGAGGCTAGCGGTAACCCGTAGGTCCTCGCAGCAACGCGGAGCGACATCTCACCGCTGCGTACCGCATCTACAGCCTTCTGGGCCTGCTCTGGGTCTACTCTCTTACGTCCCATGCTTAGCAGCAGGACCCCGAAAAGGGCAAAGATGCCCCACATAAGGGGTGTGGGTGAGGGCTGTGCTGTATCTCGGGAGTGCTTGACCCGATCGACACGCGGAGGTGCTCAAACGAAAGCTAACGGAAAGCTGAAGATTTCAAAAAAAAAATTGGGGGGCTCCGCGCATTGTGCGCCCAGGGACGTGCATTTGAAAAAAGTGTTCGTTAAAGGGGGGGTGTTCGTTAATACCCTGGTTTACTCTTGTCGACAAACATTCAACTTGGTTAAATACGGGACCAGGGGGGTGATGCTGCTGCTGTAGTAGTCGATGTATGTGTAGTGTGTGGGCGTGTAGTTCAGTTGTGAGCATGCAAACGTGCTGCAGGGATTGCAGGTGTACCTCCTCGGGCTTGCGTACCCTTTTCTTGCTGGGTGTTCTTTAGATCTTCTGATGGCTCTAGCATTTTTGTGACCACGGACCGAGTCTTAGCTAGATTTTAGGATTAGCAACTGACACGAGTTTGATGTGAGAAAAACAACAAACAACAAGACTTTGCCCTACCGCATTTGGTTGCGCAAGATACCACATACATACAAAGCTCAATTATTGCACTACTCCACGACAAAACCGACCGTACAGCAGGAGTCAATTGTTCCAACAAACGTTCAATCCTTGTTGTATCCGCATTGTCTCCATTGTCGACGATGCATCCGAACGGTTCTGAACACGGGTACGGAACAACAACACTTTTATTATGCGGACGTATCTCCGAGCACAATTCGCGGGGACCCCTGAATTTTTATTGGATTTTTTAGCTCCGTTGTTAGCTCTCGTTTGAGCACATCAGCGTGCCGATCGGGTCAAGCACTGCCGAGCTACAGCACAGCCCCCACCCACACCCCTGATGTGGGCCATCTTTTCCCTTGCTGGGGTCCTGCTGCTAAGCATGGGACGGGCGAGAGTAGACCAAGAGCGGGCCCAGAAGGCTGTCGATGCAGTACGCAGCGGTGAGATGTCGTTTAGGGTTGCTGCGGACACCTACGGGTTGAACCCGACCTTGCTCCACTGCCGTTTGAAGGAGGTGGCCAAAGATGCGAGGGTTGGTCCCGGGACTGTCCTATGCAAGGAGGAGGAAGATTTCGTAGAAGATGTGTTGATTTACGCCTCCCGACACTTCTTGCTGTTGGGTCGGAGGGAGCTGAAAGAAGCTGTGCGGAAGATCTAGTCTACATAGACGGACGCAAGGTGCCCTGGGACCCAGACCAGGGCCCGGGGGACAGCTGGCTTGAGGGATTCATGGTGAGGCACCCGGGGTTGTCGGAGCGAGCCACCCAAATCTACGAAGCAAACCGGATCAACGAAGGCGACGAACCTCGCCTTGAAGCCTTCTACGAGACACGGGAAGCGTACCTCGCGGAGACCAAGCTCACGCCGGAACGCATCCTCAACACGGACGAGACAAGTGAGTTAGGGCAAGGGCTGAGGTGTCAGTGGGTGTCAGTGGGTGTCAGTGGTGTCAGTATCGACTGCTGTGGGTTCGTAGGCGAAGTACCAGCAGCACTGCGATGTATGATGTGTGTCACAACAACGCGGAGTTCTGCCGTTCGTTGCTGCAAAAAAAAAAAAACAGCAGTTGTTCCGCATGTCTTTCCTAGGCCGCTGCTGCTTGCCATGCTTGTAGCACACAACGCGCATATGATGCTGGATCCGGTTGAGCGTTCAGCATGCAACAATCCCTGTGGTCATCTCAGTTATTCTCTAGCACAGAAATGTTAGGGCTCATGTACGATATTCTACACGGTGTTTTTGTTGTGTGCCACACGCGACAGCGGGCGTGTGCGGTGTTGGTCCGCATGCACGTGTGTTGCCGATGCTGTGCGAAGTGCAGTCAAGTCAAGACTTCAGTAGGACGCTTTGCTTTTGTAAACCTACCTTGGTTTCGAGCTCAATGTAAAATTTCGTGGGTGTGGGGTTGTTGATCCACACCCAAAGCCTAAACGAATCCGACTGCTGTTGAAGAAAACAAATGGTCCCGGTGCGAGCTGCGCTCATGTGCACGTGTATGCGCGCTTTTTTGTGTGTGCGAGCGCTGCTGCTGCGAAATTATGTGCACTTTACTGATTGTTCGACTGCCTCCACCCCCGATGCACGCGCGTTCTCCGTTGTGTGTTGTAGGTTCCACCCCTCAAGGTACAAAGTCGGGGAAGGCTATAGTGTCAACAGGCACCAAGGTACCCGGCGCGAGGCGCTCCAACTCGCGAGAAATACGGTGGTCGCCAGCATCGGCGCCGACGGCCACACCTACAACCCTATCATCATCTACAAAGGCCAGCGTATGCAACCCGCTTGGATCCAGGACAAGAACGGCGTCCCCGATGCGAAGTACACCGTCACGGAGTCATCCTCCATCCAGAGCCACGTGTTCCTCGACTACCTTCGAGACCTCGGCGAACAGCTCGATGCACGCGGCTTGCAGGGCAAAGTTGCCCCTGTGCTCGATGGCCACGCCTCGCACACGACCTTCGACGCCGTCAGCTTGGCTATCTGTCTGGACATCGACATTTTCCAGCTCCCGTCCCACGCATCGCACATCACCCAGCCCTTGGACGTTGGTACGTTCGGAACCTTCACGAAGGAGCTCACCAGGGTGCTCACGGCCTACCCACTGAAAATCGGGAGGAGGAGTCCGGTGAAGCGCGACATGGCTGGCGTGATTGCGGAGGCATGGAGAGGGAGCTTCACGCCTGCGAATAAGATGGCGGCGTTCAAAGGGGCGGGCTTGTGGCCGGTGAACATGGAGATGGCCATCAACCGACTACACGGCAAGAGGAAGCAACGGGAGAATGACCGCCCTATCCCTGAAGACCTCGCCGTCGTTGCCTCCACGAAGCAGCTCGAAGAAGATCTCGGCCACGCTNGGCGTTCAAAGGGGCGGGCTTGTGGCCAGTGAATATGGAGAAGGCCATCAACCGACTACACAGCAAGAGGAAGCAACGGGAGAATGACCGCCCTATTCCTGAAGACCTCGCCGTCGTTGCCTCCAAGAAGCAGCTCGAAGAAGATCTCGGCCACGCTGCCCTCCTGGAGCTGAAACGACAGGGAGTGATGATCGAGGGGCTCCGCGTGAACGCCGTGTTCCTCGTCGGGCTCACCCGCCTCACCAAGCGCTCCAAGTCTTTCGCGACCGTTCGGGCGGGCGGGGGGAAGCCCGAGGGCGGTCTCCTGTCCGCCGAGGAACTCCTTGCTAAGGCCAGGAAGGACAAAAAAGAGAAGGAGGCAGCTGAGAAAGCCAAGGCAGACAACGCCAAGGCCCGTACAGAGGCAAGGGCAGCGAGGGAGGCCAATCTTGGGTGGGGGTGGGCAAAACGGTACGCGGACGGAGGTCGGGGGGCGCGGGTGTGGTGGGGGTCAGGAAGGGCGAGACGGGCGCGACCAGGGACAGGGTGGCCGGGTCCGCCCCGCTGGTGCTGGCAGAGAGGGAAGGGGGACCGGTGCTCGCATTCAAGAAGGAGCGGGACGGCCGAGAGGGGCGGAGGTTCCCTTGGTTCAGCCGGCGGCGGCGGCGGCCCCTTATTCCTCTCGAGAACGGCGACGAACCCCGACACCAATCGTTGATGTGTAGACTAGATGCTGTACGGTCATCGTTTTTTTATTCGAGTGAAGGATGAATTGTTGGAGTGAGACATGCAGAAAACGTCAATTGAGTGTCGAGGTGCCGATATGCATTCCAGGGTTGTGCTTCAACAGCTTTGCTTTGTACCACGGGGGGGAGGGGGGATGGGGGGTGTAGAGGTGTTTTCCGGATTCCCGGGGACGTTGAAATGCTGTCCCCGGGCCTGAAGGGCTATTGATTCTTTTCGCTGCTTCGTGACTTGAGCTGATCGTCTTGGAAGGACCTTTCGATGGGGCGTTCGAGTGGTGGGGAACAGGTGCGGTTTTCGGCGAGAAGTCTCGCTGCAGTGCCAAGCTGCTTTTTGCCTGGCCCAGTAGTCTATGTAAAGAAGTCAAATGAGCTCCAGACGACATAGTTTTTTTTACAGTCAAATTGATGTGCCTAGTAGAAGCTTGGGGTGGTTTCTAGGGCTATGCAGAGATGCTTGGGGTGCAATCCAGCACCGGGGTCGGGGGGGGGGGACGATACCTTGATTTTGCCGCGAAACCGGGAATATGGCAATTTTGTCCCCGGGTGTGCATGGATATTTTTTCTTTTGCAACAACGTTCCATAGAAAACCCCTACCCACAAAAGGGCACGTCGTGGGAGTGTAAGGTGAATTGGAAACAAGGGAAATGGCCTTGAGGTGCCCGCGGAGAATTGTGACCATAGCGGCCAGGTCAGGTATGCCTGTTTGATCGGGCATTACATCACCTACGCAATGTTTTTCGTCCTAATTTCTTTTCAGAGTCGATATATGAGCACAATGGACCAACTACGCATTAATATCTTAGTTATGGCGCTTTTCATGTGCGCAGCACCGCCGTAGGGTCAAAAACGGGGTAAAATCCGTCCCCGATTTCAGCCGGGAAACCCGGGGATGTGAAGATTTTGTCCCCGGGCGTTGATCAATTCCATTTTTTTCCCCTCAAATGGATACATGTTGCAACAGACGTATGCACAACACTGAGGTGCACTGCATCAGCTCTATCTCGTCTGCCCTTACGATTATTTTATTTTTTAAGAGAGGTAGCCTACAATGTACCCTATCGTCCGATACTTAAAAACACTTGAAATTCGTTCTCATGCCCCAGAACGAGCTGCTGGCGCGAGAGGTGGCTTAAGCGTTCCTTAATTGGCCGGTTTACTCTAGTCTATAGATTAGTCTTTACAAATTCCTACAGGTATGTATGTATGCATGCATATCTCTTCTGACAGTACAGATAAGTAGGAGCACAATAGGTAAGTCCCGGAGATAAGAAACAAACGTCAAAATCGGGTCGAGCCTCAATTTCATATTCTGGGCAGAAGGACCAGCCTAAGTCGGCCAATATCTAAAAACGAGTTTCTTATTCCTTTGAACTGTCGCATCCTGCTGGTTTTCTTATTTTCGTGTTCTATTTGTAGCGCAGAAAACAACAACACACCAAGCCTTCAAACAGCATTGAGCCGAAAGCTCGGTGTGGCGAACATTGGGGTTGCGGCAGTCCAGCAGCAGTGGGCAGCGCAGCCCGCGGCCGCTCTGGGGCGCGGGGGGCGCCGCGAAAATACCCTCTCCCTCCCTTCCAAAAATGACATGACATGGGCTTGTATGCATAGACTATGTACGGTAGAGTGGGTGGGAGCACGGCAGCAGCAGCAGCAGCAGCAGTAGCAGTAGCAGCAGCGCGAGACGTTTCTTAATGGACACGTTCCCCCTGCTTGGATATATATCCCTTGTTTCTTTTGTCTTGGGGTATCGCACGATCACGTTTCTTCTTATTAGGACGTTTCTTATTTTGTGGCCGAGATCGAGGTGCGTTTCTTAGCCCTTTTTTACTATTTTCCGTGAACATTTGAGCCTTTTTTTCTTAGAATTTTTCTTTTTTGCGGGTCCTACAATATCTGTCTACCACAAGCAAGCGCAGAGCCTTGTGGAGGGCGTTGAGGCTCAACAATTCGGTTCCGTAAAGAAAAGCAGCCGCTATGGTCTTACAAACGTTTGTTTCTCATTTGAGCTGGCCAGTACTGCTGTGATGATACTGGGTCGCAGGGGGGGGCAGGACTTCATACTGCTGCTGCGGTTACATTTCCTACATTGCTACAGCAGTAGACTAGCGCAAATTACACCGCCCAGCGGTGGTCGCGCGAGTACTACGGAACCTTTCTTGCGGCTTGGCTGATTGTTTGATGCTAGCGTGAACTTTTCTCTGTTTTTGCACGATGCGTGCCCATGCGTAGAACATGATCATACATTGTCTTGTCCGTGAGTGCAGCTCGAAGAAGGGGCGAGCTCAAGCTGGTGGCGAAAAAAGCAAGGCATCACCGCAGATTAACCATTCCCCTTGTGTATCCCGGGTCGAGTTGTTCAACTAGACAGGGACGTGGACCGTATGGGAGGGAAATCTGTCAAGGTGAAGAGCTGTTCAACGGAAGGGCAATATAACAACACAGCAGTCCATGTGGTGGTGTTCCGTGTGGCGTGTGTGGCACTGATAACACGCGAGTCTCCTTGCTCACGAGCGCACGGATCTTGGCAAAGTTATGGCGTTGCATCAATAAGATGGAGAGAAACAACCTCAAGAGACAGATGCCCAGGGCCAACAACGCGTTTCACACACCTGGCTGATAGCACGTAGGGTTCGATCCACGACGTTGCACGGAAAACGAAGACACCCTAAACGCAGAAAGAGACGCGTGAGGCAAATAATTATCATTCAAGCTCAGAGAGGATCCGGAATGTTGTCCATTCCGGCATTCTTTGACTGTGTCCCGAAAAGAAAGCCAGAACAGAAAACAAATTGGTACTTGCACTCTGACAATGGTCCGTTTGAATCGCGGAACGTTTTGGTTTCGCTTGCAGTCAACAACACGTCGTAGGCAAGGCCTGGTTGAGGCTTGATCCCAAGTACACTCAGTGCATGCCCTAAAATTTGCTTTGCCCAAACCCCGCAGTTTTGCCGCCAACAACGGCTTGCCTTACCATACACAGAATCAAGTCCTAAAGCGCGCGGGGGGGGTACTAACCTTCACTTCACCGTCTATATAGCCTTCATTTTTTCTTCGGCATTCGCTGCGCCCTCCTGGAGGCCGCTACCTTTGCTACTCCCCCCCCCCTGGGCAGAAGCAGCTGGCGCCTTTGAAAAAACGTCACTCTCAAACAACTCTTCCACAGAGCCCACCCCCGGCTCCAACAACACGCCCTCTGCCTCAACCACCTCTTCTCGCTCCCCACCCTTGCCCAAAACGCCGCCCGGGGACGAAACCGATGCATCCCCGGTTGCAGACTCAGGTACAGCATCATCCGCGACGTCGCTAGGTTCGGTCGAGCTGGCGAGGGACGGGGGGTCTGATGGCACGTCCCCTACTGCTCCTGCGTTGCCGCACGATTCTCCGGCAGAAAGGGTTTCAATAACTGCAGCCTTGAGCTTCTCCGAAAGGCGGGGGTTTGCCAACAAGAAGGCCTTCGACTACAGGTGCGCGGCAGGCGAGGAGCGGGGACAAGAAAAATGAGGCGACGAAAGAAATAAGAGTGTTGAGGGAGGCGTTTAAGTACTGTAGATGTTGGCCACAGTGACAAAACCGCCTTTTTCGGAGAGCTGCTGGCCGCGCCAAAAGCCATACGACGACATAGATAGGGCAGAGAGACGCGCGCGTGCTCAAACGGTGACATACGACGCTTGACGGCAACAAAAATATCAACGGCAAACGAACCAACACCAACACCTCCACCAGCAACAACAACAAATAAAAGGCGCAACATCGCGATGACCGCCGCCAGAATGACAACATCCCAGACACCGCACGCACGCAGCGTTCGTGTGCGACGGACTATCCTGCCTCTATTCTCCAACGCTGAGAAAACGCTGCCCCCACCTTCTCCCTACCCTGGCCCATGAGCCACGGTGACGCCTGCCCGGCAAGTTCGGTGCCGTCCACACCCATCGCAGCGCTCACGCCGAACCTGACGTTTCCAATACACCAACCAAACACAGTAAAAATCATGAAACCGCACAACAAACGGCGGCGTACCGCAATCTGCTCCGAGGCAGATGATGTTTGCAACTGAACAAGGACAAGAAGATAAAAAAAAGGTAACTGTAGTACTTACCATGCACCGCTTTTGGACAGTAACCCGACGGTGCACCCCAGGTCGAGAAGCTCGCCTTGGAGGTCGAAACCCTTGCCGTACATGAGGTCCACCTGACAAAGAGACACACCGGGGAACGGGGCCACGTCACCGAACTAAGCATTAACAAAAAAACGTAAAAAAACTGTCATCGTTCAAAACAGCGAGTCGTGACTGGATCATAATACACAGTACGTTCCAACCGAGCCCCTGTTTCGAACCTCATCGTGTCTTTTGATTGCCTCGATTTTCTCTTTGTGGGTACGAAAAGAGGCTCACTGCGCTTGTTCCCAGCAATCGATGATTCAGTACAATCTCGGCCTGCTCATTTCAACATTTGTGGGAACCAGAATCCAGCAACAATATCGTTGGGACAACCCAACATACGTTGGGAAAGCGATTGGAATAGTACAGACCTAAGGGAGCCGCTTCATCCGACTGCGCACGGCCTAAAAAAATCTGGTCGGGAATCTGTAACTGTCACTACAAAGAGCAATTTCTATGCATACCATCGTCCCCACTCCCGAAAAGAGAGACGAGCTGCACAGCGAGAGAGGGCTTTGATGAGCAGGGGTGAGGTGTTCCTGTCTGTGTGGCACCCCTCATGCGAAACCGCGAACGCCAGAGAGGCTGGAAGAGGTAAAATCGATGTAGAGATGCGTGCATAATGCACCATGAACGACCTCAAAAGATGCCAAAAACGGAAAGATAGAGGAGATGAGACTTGGGTGGCCATACAGGGGGTTCCTGAAGGTAGTTGGATGTCACCGAATCTGAACATTTGAAGGAACCGCCAGTACGTTGCACGTTTGCGTTACCTCAGCCTTGCCGAAGGGAGGTGCGAGCTTGTTCTTCGCCACTTTCACCTTCACCTAAACAAACACAAACACGGTGAGAAAGAAAAAAAAAGACGGGCACACAGAGAGGAGACAGACGTATTTTCATTTGGTGAGCCAGTTAACGCGGTTGATGCAAACCTAAGAAACACACAGACAGAGGAGTGGGTACATGCGGGAATGCTAGGTGTACTGTATCGTCTCTCGCACGAGCCCTCGCAATCCGAAACCCTAGCTCTTCCGTCCAATCTCCCCCCTTCCTCCCTGTCCGAGAAGAGAGGGGGGGGGGGGGACTCATANACCGGACCAGGCTCTCACATCACCAAGCGCGAAGCGCCGTGAGATATTCGGCGAGTCGCATGAAGGGTGCGCTGCATCCTGCTAACGGTGTTCGGCATCTTGTGCTTACTTCCTTGCGTACGGATGACAGCTGCGTATGACATAATTCATTTTCTGGTACTTCCACTTCCAGAAACAGTTATAAGCACTGTGTAACTGCCTCAAGGGTGCTTGACCATCTTAACACAACGTGGTGCGATCATACCCCTTGCGCGGAGTGAGGGTTCTCGACCCGCACAACATGATCTACTCGACCACCATTATGGTTACCGCCAAAAAAAGAAACAGAGGTAAAAAAAAAAACCGGCAGCCTGGTTGCCGAGTTCACGAAGTGAATTGGCTTGTTTTACAACGTCGTTGCCAAGCGACGAAAACTCAACCCCGATGGCAAACAGGTCCGGGGGCGGGGTAAATACTGGTTGGCTCTTATTGTTTCACCCATTACCGTTGGTTGGCTGGTGAACGCGACGGTTGCAACTTAGGGAGCTCCCGTACACACTCTCATGCACATATCCTCAAACTCTGGCGTTACTTCGTGTTCAGCCGTACCGAGCCGCCAAGCCACTTGAAGGTACACCATGAGCACGTCTATCAGGGGCGCCGCACATCGGAACGGGTTCAAGCATTTGGTTTGCCATGTAAGACTGGCGTCTTTTCCATCGGCCAGCCGAACTTGTAGCGCGGTAAATTCTGATTGAAGAAGCACACGCCCACAAGTACGCGCACGCCACGCTGCGACAGCCACGGCACCCGGCAGTAGACACCAATAGACACCACGTCCGAGGGAGCAGAACGGAAATCTTCTCTGTCCGCCCTTACGGGAGGAAGCCAGGACAGACGGTACCTCACAGCAGTACAGTCGGCATCTACCAGCCGTGGGGACTCTTTGACACCTCCTAGCTGCCTTGTCGGGGAGGGGTCAGAAACAACTTGTACAACCACGGGTGGACTGTTTGACACTCAACACTTACACCCCCACTTGCCCCAAGTACTGTACGCCCACACGGCACGGTCACCCTCGTAAATGTGCAATGCTGTGCGTGTGAAGAGCACCGCCACTCGAAATCGTAGATAGCGTAGATCTCTCAACGAGCTCGGTCATACAACTATAGTACTACCGTCTTGTCCGGGGCCATGACTGGGCTGTCTGTCCCCAAGTCTCCCTTGGTGGCCGTAAGAATCGGCGTGACAAAATAAAAGAAAAAAAATCGCGCTCAACGTGGCGCACGATGTCAAGATCTGTTCTCGTACGACAGATAGTCGCGTCTTCCCACGACCCAAGAAGTAAAGCAAAGCCTTAAAAAAACAAACGTTGTGTGCACGTCACGATTCAGCAAACCAAACAAATAGGAAAATCGCGATATTTCGGTTATTCGGAGCAACCACTTTCGGTAATATTCGCCCCTAATGTTTCCGTAAACGTGTGAAGTAAATAAATGACATAAATAACATGCGTGCAATGAATGATACACTTCAGAATGTACCTTGGTGCCGATAATCTCTCCGTTTTGCTTGATTGCTTGACCCTTCCGGACCTCGAGTCGAACCGAGGAGTAGAATCGCAGGGCCATCCCCCCCGACGTAACGTCCGGGGATCCGAAGACAACGCCGACCTGCTCACATCGAAACCCGTCCGCGGAAGGGTGCACCAGATTATACTGTATTGTTTTTTAGAGGTTTGGCATCCCCCAAGTGTGGCACGCGCAACTCGGGTGAGTGCGTCAAGATTTGGTAAGGCACGCACACGCCGACACACACAGCGTTCGGGCGCGGACTGCACAGCTGAATAACGATGCCAGCTCGCTCCAGAATCTACAGCAACACGGGAGGGTTGACTCTTTCCGACGCTGAATAGATCGGTATCGTCGATCACGTGGTGGTATGTACCACTTTCCCTCGAAGTCAAAGTTAATAATAAGGATGATCGAGAAACCTCGAGGAAACTGCCAACCCGGATGTGAGCAGACCACAAGCGAATACCACCATCCGCTTTTGATAAGCCCAGTTTCTACCAAATGAGCACGGCGCGTGTCTACCTACCGGACGCAATTTACACACTAAACAGATGAAACAAAACACAATGCGAATCATAGGGCACGCCTAACTCCACGACCCAAACACTGCAAGCAGAAGTTAATGCTATCAAACGGCACCGTGCAACACACCGGCCTGTGGCAGCCATCAGGGCGACTTGAGCGTAACAATCTTGTACCGACACACGTCAGAGCTCAAAGAGACCGAGCTGTAAGCATTTGCGGTGAGAATCAGTGTCCAGTGCGACTTGTTACTGCACCACTCGAGCAACAATCGTGTGTGTGAGTGCTGTCCGGACACCTTGAACGAATACCTCACCGTGAACACCAACGCCGCGTGGGATCCGTCTGCCACACAAACGCGGACCCGCCAAAAGCAGCAGAAGCACAAGCAACTTCCGCCAGGAATGAGAGAAAAAAAACAGAAAAGCAGAAGTTGCAAAACTACCGTGATTGCAAAACCCGCTACAGCTTGGTTTAACCCATGATGCACAAAAAACGATGCTCCTATCTGGCGCACTGTTCCGCACAAATGAACACAACGTAAGCAGCATATGCCATATTCAAGGAACAGATCCAATCCTTTGCCCTACATCGAACAAGCGCACCACCGCCTTAGATGCAGAGGATGGAGTTGTTTGGTAGTACCTTCTGTCGGATCTGGTTGATGAAGATGAGGGTGCAGCGAGTGGTATTCAGGATCGCCGTAAGCTTGCGGAGTGCCTGGCTCATGAGCCTCGCCTTTCGAGAGGGGGGAGGGGGGGCGCCGCAAATGAAACGTACGAATGACAGAGTATAGATGAACATTGAGTGGGAAAAAACAACGGAGCACATGGTTCGCGCACACAGCAGTCAAACACAACAAAGAATAGATGCCCAAGTGTTCACAAAATTAGGCATCGTTGATCGGGGTGAACGGTGCCAATTTCCCGAAGTTTTTCACCAACAGAATGTACTTCGAAATGCCTTTCTACGTATTGCTGTACCTAGCTCCAAGACCACAAGGCTAGTCCAAGCCTGTCCACAATTTTCATCTCACGATTTTACACGAAAAATAGTAAGAAGTTAGGTAGAGTAATACTGCTGTTAGGAGTCAGTGAAACGTGAAACAGGATCGAAAATGACATTACATACCTTAATGTAATGTTCTTGTACCACGTTCCGATGGTCTAGTTGGTTATGACGCCACCTTGACATGGTGGAGGTCGCGGGTTCGAACCCCGCTTGGAATACTTTTTCGTTGTGTTCGGAACTTCCTTTTTTATTTTGTAGGTCATCGGTATCCCTTGTTTGGATGTATAAATACTTCGGAGTATCATATTTATATATATTTTTTCTACCATCATTGGACTCTGTCGTCTGCCCCTCTGGCCCCTATCCTCCACTTCTACCAGCTAGACGACCCAACCGGGGTCACATAGGAGGGAGGGGTTGGACCCCCTCCTGCGATTCCTGCCTGAGATATTGTTATCGCGAGAAGGGTACAGCAATCCCTTCCCTCGCGACTTATGAAGTCGATTAAGTTTACTAGCAACGAGCTTTGCAGCGCGTCGCTTCCAACGGAGATCAGGATTTCATTAGCGAGAAAAGAATCACTCTGTCGGGACTCGAACCCATGACCTGGCCCTTAGCATACTGCGAGGCTACCCACTAGACCACCGAAACGACCAGTGTATGTACAGGTGCGAAAAAAAAAGAAGCCAAAACGAGTGCCATACCTGCAAGGCGATATGATGGTCTCCCATCTCCCCCTCCAGCTCGGCCTTGGGCACAAGCGCTGCCACAGAGTCGACTACCACCATGTCCACCGCCGCCGACTTCACCAGCGTGTCCACAATGTCGAGGGCTTCAAGCAGTAAATCCATTCGTGTTCCAGTGTGGTGAAGGACAAGCCGTCCGTAGATTAGGTTGGCGCATGGCAAAAACAGTATCAATAGAAAAAAAACGAACAAGGGAGAGGGAGAAAAAAGCTAACACAAAGAGAAGAAAAATTGAGAAATACACAGCGCGGGGAGGACATATTCAGACAAAAATACTTCTACTGTTACACACCGAATATGAATCAACAGACTCGAAGGCGGTGGGAGGGAGCGGATGCACAGAAGGACATCGCACAAATACCGGTGCAGCAATTAAACGAGTGGAGTGATCCGGGTGGCCTGATGCAATCCGTCAACCTTTGCTTTGCATACCAGCCCGGCCGGGCAGGTGCGGCCCGTGGGAAAGCGGCAGCAGCACGGCGTGCTCGTTCGTCCGCACCTTGCTCTCCGTTGTCCGGCTGTGCGAGGTAGAGCTTGGTCATGTCCACGCCGATGGCTTTGGCGTACGCGGAGTCCAGGGCGTGCTCCGCGTCGATGAAGACCGCGGTGCCCCCTGCATGCATGTATGCCGGTATAAATGGCGACAAGCATGGAAAAACAGTCAGTTCCACGGGGCCCGGAGTGGATGTCACTTCCCCAAAACTGAAAATAACAAATACATACCAGTACAGTGTGTGTGGGGGGGTGTACTCATAGTCGTGCATGACGTAGTCGTTAGACCATTGACCTCGCATCCCTACAAAGCCGGGACGGAGCACGCCGGGTTCTCACCGGACCAGGCTCTCACATCACCAAGCGCGAAGCGCCGTGAGATATTCGGCGAGTCGCATGAAGGGTGCGCTGCATCCTGCTAACGGTGTTCGGCGTCTTGTGCTTACTTCCTTGAGTGGGGATGACAGCTGCGTATGACTTCATGTATTTTCTGGTACTTCCACTTCCAGAGACAGTTATGAGCACTGTGTAACTGCCTCGAGGGTGCTTGAC